TTTTTTTTTTCTTCTATTTTTTTTTTAAATATCGAATATGCAAGAAATCAGCTTTATTTTCATTTAGAAGTTAGGAATTAGCAGTGTGAATTTTTTTTTTAAATTTTTTATTATTATTATTTTTAAAAAATATAACACGAATTGTTTTTGACATAAATAAATTTTTTTTACATATAAGCGCATTAAGTCACAGAATTAGCATTATATCGCCACAGAATTGCACAGAAATTAATGAAATTGCACAGAATTCATAAAAAAAATTTACCGCAGTGAATCACAGAATTTGCCTTAACTACACGCAGAATTTGGGTTTAACCACCGCAGGAAATCATCGGCCCTGCCCTGAGTCATAAATTTCAAATTTGGAAGTTTGTGTCATGATGATCGTCCTAATATAGGGGACATTGTAAGGGTCAAATTTGACGCAGCATAACCTGGACTTGGGCTGTGCCACTATTTTTTTTATTATTTTATTACTATTATGTAGCATTTTTCTATATTTGTATATTCTATTATTAGTATATCTTTGCTATTTTCAGTTATTCTGTTTGGATTACCATTTATAGTCGAAATCGACTCCATGGAATTGATGGAGTTCATTTCGTTGATTTTTAGTCTGTAAAAATGCATTATATAAAGAGCCTTTGACTCGTTTTAAATAAAGACAACTCATTAGAGTTTTAAACTTCGAAACCATTATAGTAGAAGTTGTTCCTTAAATAATTGATACATTTGACCCCAAAATTGCTTAAATAAAACCAATTTCTGTCCCAGTAGTAGTTTAGAAGTTAGTGTAGTTTGTAAGAGTAAAGAAAGAAACCCATATTCATGCCAAGTATCCCTTATATAGTCAATTCTCAAAAAACCCTAAGATCCATTGTTCTTATCCATTTATCGAACAATAGAAGATCATCGAAATTACCCGTGACTTACTGAGCTCGTGACATCATCGATCGATTGGAGATCTGATTTCTGACATCAATTGCCCGTAACGTAATCGAGATCATCGTTAAGAATCTTAACAATCGAAATCTGAATATTGAATCACCGATCGACATAGATAATCGTGACCACGTGACCCAAAAAAAACAATAGTTCGTAATAGAAGAAGTAAAGTGTTAGTGATAATACTTTCGAGACACCAAAGACATATTAGAAACATATTATAAGTCTAAGACTTATCTGAACTCGGCAACCTTACCATAAGGCCTTACAAAGCTCTAGAACTAAGACCAAGTCTTTTCACGTCTCATTTTGAAACCTACCACTCTAGGGTTTCAGTCTTATTTTATAGTAGAATTAGTGATTAGTTGGTTTGTGTAGTGTTATAGGATAGTTGTATAGTTATTTTTAGCATATTCTCTGGTAGTTAACACATCTTCAATTGGTGGTGACTGTGAGATACCTACTTCAAAAATTTTATTATTATAACGAATACAAAAACAAAATTCCCCTTAAATTGATACTACGAAAATAACATGTCTGATTTTGAGGACAACCAGACAGTTGAAGGAGAAAGAGTTGAAGACAGAGAAGAAAACATTCTCTTTGAAAATCCACCCGCATATCAAAATCAACCAAATGATCCTATTTAAACTCATCGTCTCCTCCAGAAAATCGCTCAGGCCTTTTGAAATATTGCTATGTATGATGTCCCACCTAACTCACGCGAAAATAATTGGGTCCATGTGAAGACCTTTAAAGGCGAGGACAATGAAGACCCAGTGGAATGGGTTGAAGCCTTTGAAAGAGCCACTGATACAAACAATTGGACCCTGGTTAGAAAAATGAAGATTGCATCTGGACATTTGGCCAGAATTGCTGCCTCCTGGTATTATGATAACAAAGACCACCTCCTTTTCTGGGATAACCCTGACAATGCTGAAGATAGCTTCGTTCAATCCCTTATCCAGTACTTTGCAACACCAGAATAAAAGCATTTATGGCAAATTGAATTAACTACAATGAAGCAAAAAGAAAATGAAAAAGCAGACAAGTACTCTTACCAATTCAAGAAGCTCTTAAAAGGAGTAGACCCAGATCGACAAATACCTGCCACCTACATTGTCAGAATGTTTATGGGGGCCTTCATGAAAAAACAGCCGTCTTAATGTCTATAGAAGACCTTGCAATGCTGGATGAAGCAATTGTGAAAGCCAGAAAGATCGAAGCTGGCAATTACTATGAAAATAGAAATAGTAAAGGACCCAACAATTAGCTAATTGATGATTTAATGAAGAAAATCAAATGATGGCAGCAAACTATGAAAAATTAACCACCACAATTGCAGCTAGAGCTGAAATTAGCCCTCACCAGTTTCCACAACAACAACATCCACTTCGACAACCCCGAAACGAAAGCATTGAATGCTATAACTGCAGAGAAAGAGGTTATATTGCCAGAAACTGCCTTTCTGAACAACGTCGAAGCTTCCAACCAACTATGAATCCTAATAGGACCGCAACATCTGTCAGAAATGTCAATCTATATGATGTTTATAACCATAATCAAAATAATGAAGTATATGCTATGAAGTATTGGGAAAGACCTGAAAATGATACTAATTGGGATGAAAGACTAAGGAAAAGAGTTGCCCAGGACCCAAATCAGCCTACTCCACCTGAAGAACCCACCTCCATGGAGGATATTACTGCAGGACTATCTCAAGACCCCACTCAGCCTCAGCCTGAAAATTCTAGCAAAATTAGGTACAAACGTGGCCGCTCTATTATAGATTTGGTTCTCTCCTACAATATTGCCAAGGATATCCTTAGCTAACGTACCAATGCCACTTATGCACAACTGTTACAAGTCCCAAGGCAAAGACAAAACCTGGCCCAAGCCCTCAGACGTCCAATTATCCCTATTGCCCTATTATAGAAACCACAAACTTTATAGAAAATAAACCTAGCCAACGTACCATGGCGGCTAAATGCTATATCCAGGTTCACAATAACCCAATTTTAGCAGTACTAGACTTAGGTGCAGCAGTTAGCATAATCTTCATGAAATTAGCGAAAAAACTAGGACTCAGCATCACAGAACCCTCCAACACCATTGTTATCACCGCTAATAGAACCAGAGAATGGGCATTAGAAAAGCTATCAGGAGTAAAATTAGCAGTACAATGTTTACTAGTTCCTACAGACTTTCAGGTTATCGAGAACCCTGAAGAAATGATGCTTCTGGGCATGGACTGGTTCCAAAAAGTCCGTGCTCGCTTAAATTTTGACAAAAAAAGGTTAATTCTTTGATATCTGGGCAAATGTATCGAAGTTCCAATTTATCAGGCCAAAGAAGATAATGTGGAACCTGTCCTAAATAATAACAACGAAGACAATGATTTCTTTGATCACTATGAAGAAGAAGATCTTAAGGAAGTGGAAGAGTATTATACAGATGATGCTGAAATAGATAACCCAATTCCCCACTATTGTGGAACTAATGAAAATCCTGCAATTTATCTAACTGATGTGGAGGAAATCCCAACCCAAAATAATGATACTAAAAATGAATTAACACTGGAGCAAATAATTGAAAAATTGACCCAAGCAGACACATTAAATAAAGAACAAAAAAAAGAAGTAGTACATAATCTAAAAAAATATCAAAGTCTTTTTCTAACCAGGGTTGACACACTAGGATGTGCAGAAGGAATAAATCATGAAATTGATACCGGAGGCGCCAAACTAATCAAAAAATTGGCATATAGAATTTCTCCTAAAGAACAAGACTTCCTAAACAAAGAAATAAAAATGTTGCTAGACGCCGGACTTATATACGAGCTGAAAAGTGCCTGGACATCTCCGGTGGTTATCGTACAAAAAAAAAATGAAAAACTCTAATTATGCATAGATTACTGAAAGCTGAATACTGTAACAAAAAAAGATGTATACCCCTACCACGTATTGACGACATGCTAGACTTGTTTGGCAAGTCAGAATAGTTTTCGAGTCTCGACATGGCCAGTGGATACTGGCAAATTCCTATGAGACCCGAAGATAAGGAGAAAACTGCATTTGTCACAAAGCAAGGGTATATGCATTTAACGTTATGCCCTTTGGTTTGTGCAATGCACCAGCCACCTTCCAGCGGGCAATGAATCATATTTTATATGAACTTCTGGGCCAATGTGTAGCAGTATACGTGGATGACATAATAATCTACTCAAAGACATACCAGGAACACTTATCACATTTAATAATGGTCTTCACCAAAATTGAGGTGGCAGGATTGAAACTTAACTATAAGAAATGCGAATTATTCAAAACCAATATAAACTTTTTAGGTTATACTGTTGAAAAAGATGGTATAAAACCTGACAAAGCTAAAGTATCCAAGATTAAGACATTCCCACCCCTATTAATCTAAGACAACTACGGGGCTTCATTGATCTGGCTTCATACTATCGCCGTTTTATCAGAGGTTTTGCCACTATTGCTAAACCACTCCATAGATTGTTGGGAAAAAATACACTATATGAATAGGGAATGGCCCAAGAGCAGGCTTTTACTACGCTAAAGACCCACCTTACCACAGCTCCTGTTCTAAGGTACCCCAACTTCAAAAAAACTTTCTACCTTTACACTGATGCATCTGGTGTAGGGCTTGGGGCTGTGTTAGTTCAAAAAGATGAAGAAAAGAAAGAGTATGCAGTTGCATATACTAGTAAAAGCTTAACTCGACCTGAAAGAAATTATGCTACTACAGAATTTGAATGTTATGCAATAGTGTGGGCCGTAGAGTACTTCCACTATTATTTGGGTTACAAACCTTTCATAATTGTGACAGACCACTCTGCTCTAAAATGGCTCCAAACCATCACCTTGAAAGGAAGAAGGATCTGCTGTATTTTACGCCTCCAACCCTATATATTCACTATTCTGCATAGAGCTGGAAGAGAACATAATAATGCCAATATATTATCAAGAATAGTGGAAGAACTACCAAAAAATTAGGAAGAAAACAAGGCAGTCAGCCATTATCAAAAAGTAGCTGATATGAAGAATGCTGCTAAAAAGAATCAAGGTAAACCTACCCAAGAGTACCTGGAGGCCCAAAACTCTAAATTAGATGAAGAAGTCAAAATCTTCCGAGCTATTGCTCAGGAGTATTTTTATGAAGACTCCAATGAAAAAATGAAAATTATCACTTGGGAAAATAATACCACAGAGCCAACATAGTGGGAAAATGAGAATGAATTAATAAATGTCGATGAATACATGACCCAAGAGTGGGAAGAAGAACTTATCAATAGTGAGTTAGAATGGGCAATAAACTACCAAAACCTCTTACTCGAGTTGGACAGGGAAGCAAATAGGGAAATAACCTGGTTAACCGAAAATGGGTATCAAAATAGGCAAACTAATAACTATTACCTTGAAAGTGAAGCACAACCTATGAACTGTGATGAAGTTTATCTAATCGACATACCCCAGTAGGGAGAAGCTGCTGAAGGACTTGAATTCGAAGATAGCAGTGATGAGGAGTATGAAGATACTAGATATGGCTGCTATCAAAGTCATTTAGAACATAACCACTATTGGTGGAATACCCACAAAGAAGATATAGACTTCAACCCAAATTTTAACTCAGAAGACTGGAAACAATATCAACTCTCCAGTGACTATATCGATTGGGAAAGTTGTGATTCGCAATAAGGATGACTATTGCAAAAATTTATTCTACAAAAAATTAATTAAGAGCGAAGAATTGAGCCCTCTACGAAAAAAATATATATATTATTTTTTTTTCAACCAATTAGTATAGATTCTCTTATATCATACTTTATATTATAGAATAGTGGAACATTAAAAAAAAAAAAAAAAAAAAAACCAATCGTAGCAGACCTGACATTAGAGTATAGTTGGTCAGGATGAAATAGGGCGAGTTATCAGGCCCTATTCAAGCAACTAACCCAACTTTACAAATACCTATTCTTTTTAAGCATAGACGTGGTTACCAAAAGGATACAAACTTAAAAAAATCAATTACGGCTGCAAGTCAGTTATTATAGTCAAAGAGAAGACCAGACCCAGATGGATGATCATCAACGAAAACTGGGAAATTATAACAAATTGAAATCTAAAGGAGAATTGAGTTAAAACAAAATCTACCCGAAACTAAATGCCAATGAAGGTCCAAGTGAAGACCAAGAATTCAATGTTGCAAAGTACAGATTTAGGAAAAGAACTTCTGAGAATAGAAACTCTATAGCATCGTAAGCAAAACAAACTAGGAAGCTATGGGAAGAAATGATAGACAACTTAGCAAAGATATTTATACTCATATGGCGTTGAGTATTGTTATCAAAATAGAATTGGAGCCAAGAAGACTATACAGCAAAATTACCTTTAACAAAAATCGAAAGATTAGAACTACCGAAATAAAGATAGTATACTAAACTGTATTAGAACTTAACTTGAACTAATACTAAGTGCTTAGAAAGAAGTAAAGTCAAAAATTGGAAAATTTACTCATAGCCCGAATCTGCAAAACCAAAAAATCCTATCCACACCCATATACAAGACCCAATATATAAACGTGATACTTATTAGAAATAAAACAAAATTTAGAAGACCAACATACAATCAATTAAAGGGGCTGTTAAGGAAGGAACACTATTATAGAATTTAGAAAAATTCGAAAAAATATTCAGAAGTTGAAAAATTAGTAGCCACATTAGATAACAAAGCCTCAGAAAAGCTACTAGAAGAAAAGAAACTCTCAGAAAAGCCTAAAGAAGGTATTACCTAAATAAGAAAAGAATCTAAAAACCCGATGTAAACTTCAATTCGGCCCAGGTTGTCAGTATCCTGGCAAAAGCTAAGCACAGCCAAAAATTATTAGTTATCCTTCAAATTTGACAAAACAATGGATCCTCAATTATATGCAGCATTGTTTACTTATCTATGACATCGACAATATCCACAAGAATATGATAACCTGCAACAAGCCCGGCTAAGGAAACAAAGCCAATTTTTCTAATGGAAAACTGGAAATTTATACAAAAAGAACAGAAAGTGAAAAGGGGAACTCCTAAGAGTTCTGCAAGAACAAGAGGTAGAACCTATTATGGCCTAAGTCCATGATCATCCCACAGGGGCTCACCTGGGCACGGAAATTATGTTCAACAAAGTTTGAAACTACTATTACTGGCCCCGAATGTATAGTGATATTCAGCAGTATGTAAAAACCTGTAAACACTGTCAGCTCCAAGGACCCAAGAAATCCAAGGAACCTTTACATCTCATACACGTGGGGGTGCCTTTTCATAGGATTGGCATAGATATAGTCGGCCCTCTTCTAATAACGCCCTAATCAAATCGTTATATTGTGGTGGCCACTAATTATATGACCAAGTGGCCTGAAGCACGGGCCATACCCAAAGATAATATAGAAGAAGTGGCAAAGTTCATTTATAAGGAGATTATTTGCCGTCACAGATGTCCCACATACCTCTTATCGGACAGAGGTTCCCATTTTAGAAATAGACTTATTGATAGCCTTCTTGCATCACTACAAATAAAGCACCACTACTATAGTCCATATCATCCGCAGACCAACGGGCTAGTAGAACGATTTAACAAATCATTATATACTTCAATTGCAAAGTTAATCGAGAATATTACAGACTGGGACCTATTTATTCCTCCAGTGCTATTTGCATTTAGAACTGCCAGACACAGCACTACCCAACAAACTCCATTCTTTCTTGTATATGGGAGAGAAGCTAAATTGCCTATACACCCAAGTGAAACGGGTAATTTATTAGAGGGGACAATCATTCAACGGATATATGAACTAGAAAATGATCTACCAAAGGCACAAACCCAAACCATGGAATGCATTAAAGCCCAACAGCAAAAGCAAAAGGATAGACACGATCGACAGATCAAAGCCACCCCGACTTTAATATAGGAGATAAAGTATATGTTGAAGATACGCGAAAGATGAAAACTCATAGCCATAAGATGATACCACAATGGAAAAGCCCATACTATATACATAGTATAATCAGGAATAGTGCCTATAAACTTCATACGGCAATGGAAAAAGTGTTATTGCATGCAGTAAACAAGACATTGTTGAAAGCCCACCATGAGAAAAATATATAAAGATGGCAAAAAGACTCTTTATCAAAATCCAATTTCCACACACCAAAACAAATAAAAATCAAACAAAACAACTAAACAAATATCATACTACTCCTACAATTACTAACGACGTAACTTTGATCCAGCAAGATTTGCTTGCTACAGAACCAGCCATTGTTGTTTCTGCCCCTTGTCCTTATGATAGTACACAAGGAATCGCCACTCAACTAGCCCTTGCACATGATGAGGTAAAAAGAGCTAGAGCAGGGGAAGACGAATAGACACCCTTGTGTATGCTTTTTACTTTGGAGCTCGATTATCTACCACCGCCAGAGACGAAAGAGCTGCTGCAAAGAATGTGTATGGTGCCTATTTCCTTAGGGCCGCCAGCCATATTTATTATTTGTTTGAGCCCTTTGGGCTCAAACAGATCTATCGAACCTGCCACACCAAAATTTCCAAGGTTGCATCCTTGAGCAAGGACCAATTTGATGATCTAAGCCAAGGAGAGCTTGTGTTACAAGCTTTTTTTGGTGAGAGAGAGTTGTAAGGGTCAAATTTGACGCAGCATAACCTGGACTTGGGCTGTGCCACTATTTTTTTTATTATTTTATTACTATT